ACCCTGCACCTTCGAGGCTGCTGCACTTTGTACATGTGGTCCTTTGTAGCTCAATTGGTAGAGCATGGCGCTTGTAACGCCAGGGTAGTGGGTTTGATCCCCGGGACCACCCATACGTTAAAATGTATGCACGCATGACTGTAAGTCGCTTTGGATAAAAGCGTCTGCTAAATGGCATATTATTATATTATTACATAGACATGGAACACTGGTCAGTTTAATAATGGAACACTGGTCCCTTTAACAATGTTTACATACGGTTTTATCCATTTCATATGTATATACTATATTCTAATCAAGGCCATCCTATTCAGCTATTGCTGTACATATACTATTCTATCCTGTGTATTCTTCAGATATACTACATACAATACCGGTCCAAAGTTTTCTTTATTTTTACTATTTTCTACAATGTAGAATAATAGTGAAGACATCAAAACTATGAAATAACACATATGGAATCATGTAGTAACCAAAAAAGTGTTAAACAAATCAAAATATATTTTATATTTGAGATTCTTTAAATAGCCACCCTTTGCCGTGATGACAGCTTTGCACACTCTTGGCATTCTCTCAACCAGCTTCACCTGGAATGCTTTTCCAACAGTCTTGAAGGAGCACCCACATATGCTGAGCACTTGTTGGCTGCTTTTCCTTCACTCTGCCGTCCGACTCATCCCAAACCATCTCAATTGAGTTGAGGTCGGGGGATTGTGGAGGCCACGTTATCTGATGCAGCACTCCATCACTCTCCTTCTTGGTAAAATAGCCCTTACACAGCCTGGAGGTGCGTTGGGTCATTGTCTTGTTGAAAAACAAATGATAGTCCCACTATGCACAAACCAGATGGGATGGATTATCACTGCAGAATGCTGTGGTAGCCATGCTGGTTAAGTGTCACAGACAGTGTCACCAGCAGACAGTGTCACCAGCAAAGCACCCCCACACCATAACACCTCCTCCTCCATGCTTTACGGTGGGAAATACACATTCAGAGATCATGCGTTCACCCAAAGTCTCACAAAGACACAGCGGTTGGAACCAAAAATCTACAATTTGGACTCCAGACCAAAGGACACATTTCCACCGTTCCACTGTTTCTTGGCCCAAGCAAGTCTCTTCTTATTATTGGTGTCCTTTAGTAGTGGTTTCTTTGCAGCAATTCGACCATGAAGGCCAGATTCACACAGTCTCCTCTAAACAGTTGATGTTGAGATGTGTCTGTCACTTGAACTCTGTGAAGCATTTATTTGGGCTGCAATTTCTGAGGCTGGTAACTCTAAGCCAGTTTCATCATAGCGCTTGATGGTTTTTGCGACTGCACTTGAAGAAACTTTAAAAGATCTTGACATTTTCCGTATTGACTGACCTTCATGCCTTAAAGTAATGATGGACTGTCATTTCTCTTAGCTTATTTGAACTGTTCTTGCCATAATATGGACTTGGTCTTTTACCAAATAGGGCTACCTTCTGTATAACCCCCCTACCTTGTCACAACACAACTGACTGGCTCAAACGCATTAAGAAGGAAAGAAATTCCACAAATTAACTTTTAAGAAGGCACACCTGTTAATTGAAATACATTCCAGGTGACTACCTCATGAAGCTGGTTGAGAGAATGCCAAGAGTGTGCAAAGCTGTCATCAAGGCAAAGGGTGGCTATTTGAAGAATCTCAAATATAACATATTTTCTTATTAGTTTAACACTTTTTTTGGTTACTACATGATTCCATATGTGTTATTTCATAGTTTTGATGTCTTCACTATTATTCTACAATGTAGAAAATAGTAAAAATTAAGAAAAACCCTTCAATGAGTAGGTGTTCTAAAACTTTTGACCGGTAGTGTATTCTATCCACATACTGTCCATAATGTCTATATATCCCATCACATATATACACTACATTACCAAAAGTATGTGGACACCTGCTCGTCAAACATCTCATTCCAAAATCATGGGCGTTAATATGGAGTTGTTCCCCCCTTTGCTGCTATAACAGCCTCCACTCTTCTGGGAAGGCTTTCCATTAGATGTTGGAACATTGGAACATCCAATTCATCCCTAAGGTGTTCGATGGGGTTGAGATCAGGGCTCTGTGCAGCCCAGTCAAGTTCTTCCACATCGATCTCGACAAACCATTTCTGTATGGACCTCGCTTTGTGCACGGGGGCATTGTCATGCTGAAACAGGAAAGGGCCTTCCCCAAACTGTTGCCACAATGTTGGAAGCACAGAATCATCTAGAATGTCATTGTATGCTGTAGTGTTAAGATTTCCCTTCACTGGAACTAAGGGGCCTAGCCCGAACCATGAAAAACAGCCCCAGACCATTATTCCTTCTCCACCAAACTTTACAGTTGACACTATGCATTGGAGCAGGTAGCGTTCTCCTGGCATCCGCTAAACACAGATTTGTTAGTCGGACTGTCAGATGGTGAAGCGTGATTCATCACTCCAGTGAACGCATTTCCAAGTGAGCTTTACACCACTCCAGCTGACACTTGGCATTGCGCATGGTGATCTTGGGCTTGTGTGCGGATGCTCGGCCATGGAAACCAAATTTCATGAAGCTCCCGACGAACAGTTATTGTGCTGACATTGCTTCCAGAGGCAGTTTGGAACTCGGTAGTGAGTGTTGCAACCGAGGACAGACGATTTTGATGTGCTACGAGCTTCAGCCCTCGGTGGTCCCGTTTTGTGCGCTTCTGTGGCCTACCACTTCGCGGCTGAGCCGTTGTTGCTCCTAGACGTTTCCACTTCACAATAACAGCACTTACAGTTTACCGGGGAAGCTCCAGCAGGGCAGAAATTTGACAAACTGACTTGTTGGAAAGGTGGCATCCTATGATGGTGACACGTTGAGGTCACTGAGCTCTTCAGTAAGGCCATTCTACTGCCAATGTTTTTCTTTGGAGATTGCATGGCTGTGTGCTCGATTTTATACACCTGTCAGCAACGGGTGTGGCTGAAATAGCTGAATCCACTCATATACTTTTGTATATATAGTGTATATATTTATACTCCGGACTCCGACATTGCTCATCCTAATATTTATATATTTCTTAATTCCATTCTTTTACTTTTAGATTTGTGTGTATTGTTGTGTATTTTTAGATATTACTGCACTGTTGGAGCTAGGAACACAAGCATTTCGCTACACCCGCAATAACATCTGCTAAATATGTGTATGCGACCAATAAACTTTTATTTTATTTGAGCAGCACTGAGGGAGAAGATGAACGATGAGCATAAACTTCACATCAGGTATAGGTTTACATACCTTCTTGTCAATGTATAGGTGTGTTGCGTGTTAATATACATATTTCTTCTGTGTTTTTCAGGCAAAAAATGCTTACGTGGGCAACGTTTCCCTTAACTCCAAATTACCTATTTTATTCAGTTATAGTAACACCCCTCCTTTGCTTCGCTTCCTACTTTTCCCAGGGGTCAGCTTTTTTACTTGTTTATCTGGAAAGGAAGAATTCTTGAGTGGAAGGCTCCAGAACACCTGAGCTTTGTAGTGTTGTCACTTCAATGAAGCCATTTGCATGGTTCAGACCATTGAGTGGTGTTTTTTTTTATTTCAGCATAGAGAGAAAAGACAATATCAATATTTAATAAAAGTAAAAAGGAAGTTATGTCTTCAGTGTTCTTTTGTAACATGTTTAATAGTAGGCCTATATCATTACATAGGCTAATCATTACCCATGTGACTGAGTTGACAGCCTATTAGTAATACCGCATATATGGCCTTAATAACCATGTTTAAAAACGATCAAGTTTGTTTCTGTTCCAAGTACGACCCCTTTCATTGAGTTGGATTTATGATAGTAAGTAAGATTCTGGTAAGTATGACCTAACGGTTACTTGTGATTTCCTTTGTCACTGTTCCTCATGTAACACACGCACACATACCGTTTCTGCCGTTACATCCTGTGAACTCTGCCCCTCTCATCTCTTTCCTCTCCTCCCCAGTTAAGACCGAGCCTATGAGCTCCAGTGAGACTGACTAACACAGGCAGCAGCACTGGACAGCCATGCAGGCAATTCTCCAAGGAATCATATTTTATGCAGTGCTGGAGCTGAAATGGACAATCAAACTCATCCTTTGTTGCTGCATTGAATAATGAAATGACCATGCAATCTGATATCTTGTGCTTTCTGTCCATAAAAAAAAAAAAAAACATGCATTGTCCTACAGTAAATTCTCTATGAAGCATGAGGAAGGGATCCTGCAGGTTGTCCTACAGGAAAATGGCTCTGAAAATCCTATGGGACTTTTTTTGTAAGGGAACCTACAATTAAAAAGTGAAAAATACACACAAACTTTATAGCAACATAACCCATGGTAATATTGTTTTACGTAATTTATGGCTAAGATTTATAGTTCCCTACACACAATAAATCAATGTCTCAATGCTTTGCTAAAGCATCACACCTGCTCTACCCCCCGCTTCTCCTTTATACGCAGTCTACCTAGAAAAGTATGATCACTTACGATAAAATCAGACATTTTTTTTATCATAATCTACTCGGTGAAAGAATGGTTTACACTTTAAACACGAGCAATAAACGCAAGGGATTAAGATTTAAATGAACTGAAATGCAAATCAAAGCCATGTATACTACAGAAGTATACTGCCACTTAGTGATTGAATTCAGAATTACAACTCATCCGGAAAAAAAAGACTCTGAATAAATATATAGGGGGATTTAACGATAGGACAGCGTATTGGCGTTTGTGTTACATTGTTATTTGTCCGTGTCTCCGCAAATTTGGTCGAGGTTACATTAGCTAATCGGCCAGCTAGCTAACTATTGGGAGTTGCGAAACATTGAAATTGGCTTAATCAACTGACAAAATCATTTTAGTATGCACCGAAGACGGGTAATAGGATTACGCCACCCGTTGTCGTGCTCTTTTATGACAACCTATAACGTTAGCTAGCTATTGTTGTTGTGGTGTTGCTGGCTAACTAAACTTGGGAAGCTGCTAGCTATGGCTAACTAAACTTGGGAAGCTGCTAGCTATGTAACGTTATTGTTACAGCTTTTGAGTTTTTGTTGAAGTAAATTAGAATTATAGTAAGTCTCCATACGGAGGGAGGTCATGGTGACTCGTAAACAGAAAAAGATTATAAGATACGTGGAAGATGGCAGTTTAACGAAGCTGAAGTCCTACTTTCGGAAACACTCCGACCTCGACGTCAACTTCTCCCAGGGGAAAAAGCGCAGGACTCCCCTGCACCTGGCCTGCTCGCTCGGTGAAGACGCCATCCTCCGGCTTTTGTTGAAGTATGGAGCCGACATCCTTCAGAAAGACAAGAAAGGGGACACGCCCCTACACATTGCTGCTAACAAGGCTCTGAAACATGGCAAAAAAGGTGAAGGTCTGCCAGTATTACTAAAAACAAAAATATGTAGCTAGAATAATAACACGCCTTCTAACCTTGTTCTTTTTTATCCCCTTTTATCATGTAGTATATGATGACTTCGTCGTGCCCCTTCAAAAGAGTTGCCCAGATGCCATGGTTGCACCAAATAATGCAGGAATTACACCTCAGGACCTACTGCAATGGATGACATTTGAGAAGGTATGAATGTCTCTGCCATATGCATGTGTAATAGGTTTTTTTAGGACAGAGCTAGGACATGGTTGTATTGTGTGCACATACTTGAGCACTGTTTCTGATGCTACTTTTCTCCCAAAGACTGCACCGAGGGGGAAGTCTTCAAAAGCGACAGATGCTGAGAAAGAGTGGCAAGAGAAGCTCTTTGGGGAATGCCAGGATGAGTTTTTTGAAACCTTTGGACAATATGATGGTAATATTTCACTCTTGAATAATGTGATTAAATAATTGTACATTTGTCATATTGATGTTTTTTTATTTATTTGGCAGATGATTTATTTGCGGAAGATACCGATGAGGAGGACTTTCAAGACTGGGCAGATAGAATTAGACATGAGTATGTCACTAAACAGCATGCAGAGGCTCAAAGACTGGCATCCTCAGGTTCTCATGGGAAGAGGAAGAAAGGTGCGGATGAGGAGGAGCGGGCTAACAGAGAGCTGCATGAGAGGCTACAGAGGGAGCATGACGAGTACCTGGCGCGTGCTGCACGGAAAGAGGAGGAGACGCGTCAGGGGAAGAAGCGGCGCTACGAGGAGCGATGTGCAGATACCTTCAGCACTGACACTGCAGCAGCGGCCACCACAAAATTGAGTTATCGGGACATCCCCTGGCCGGCACCGAAGGGCTCAATTGAGGAGATGGTGGAGGTGATGCTGCATGGTGCAGACAGGAAAGACATGCCAGTGTTCCGTAAACTCCTCAGGCGCCAGCAGACCGTTTGGCACCCCGATAGGTTTGCCCAGCGCTGTGGGGCCCGGCTGGAGGAGGGAGACAAGCAGAGGATCCTGGACACTGTCACTGCTCTCTCACAGGAGCTCAATAGACTGGCTCAGAGCCTCAGGTGACAAAGTCAGACTGGAATGGAACCTGAGATATGAGATGTTGAACAGTCGGTCATTTAGCCACTCACGGTCCTGTTCATGCAGGGCAGTGGTTATGTTTCAAGTTGTGGTCAGTTGTTTTGATCTGTCAAAACAAATTTCCACTTGAAGCACCTAATTTCTTGGATAAACTTGGCTGAGCTTCTTATATGGTAACTCAATCTTGTCACCATGCCAATGTGTTGAGTGAATGCCATATTTCGCAGAGTGCTGTATTGTGTTGTGAACTTCTCGGCACTAGGACTTGATGGAAGAGATGATGTTGCTGGAGAGAATAAGTGTTTGCCTTGTTTAATTTCTCAAATTAATTGAAAATAAATAACCTGTGATTTCTTGATCACATAAGTATTGCTTGAATCAATACTTGGAGGAAGCACATTTGGCAGCAAACCGCCATGAATCTTTATGAACACCTCTTAGGGGTGCAACATTGATCCATTATTGGCAAAGGTTCTGCCAAGTTGGTTAGGGATCATTGATGGACACTGGACATCAACCTTCATGTTATGCCACTGATTTTCAAGCTGTCAGAACTGACAATATTTGTATCCACAAATAAATGTTGAAACAAGTTGTGTAAAGCCTGTGTATAGACAAAATTGAAGATAACATCCAATACCAATATTTAGTGAACACTTAAACACTTACGCAAATGGTTTACATTAGTTTGTAAGTGCTACTAGCATAATTAATAATATGATCGTGTCATGGTAACCCTGCAGAAAAAATGAGAAAAGACACTTGTTATTATGATGTTGTCATGAACCTGGCCTGCCTTATTCAGACAAGTTCAGCATGTTACCCAACTGAAAAAATTATGAAGCTATTTGGGTTAAGGATTGGGAGGGGATCAAAAGGACCACGATGACACAAACTGCACAATACACTCTACCCTCTAAGGCAGAGTGCTGATGAGATCAAAGTGGGTCTTTTTAAGATCACAGTAAGTAAACAGTTTGATGGAGAAACATTTGACTTGATTTTAAAATGAGAAACTATTGGACAGCATTTATGAACCTACCACCACCTAAAATCCTCATACAGGCCTACACACACAAAGAAAGGGCAGATGGTCCACCCGAATTTGAATGATGGAACTGAATAAATGAAAGGATGCCCTAGTTGCCAGATTCGGTACAAAATCCCAAATGTAAATTATAGCTGTAGGGCGTATTCGTCCTCCGTATAGGCTATCAGAAAAGTGAAAATGTATTGAGAAAAAATGCACATTCAAATGAATGAATGAATCTACAATTCTCTGTGTTTTTGGAAATGTTATAGAAAAATATCTTGACTGTACTAGGCCTGATGGCTTTGTTTATTTATCTCTTGCCACAAGGGCTCATACCCTATGAATCATAGGCTTTATTGAGAATAATGTAGTATTTTCGTATTGGTAATTTTGCATTCAAAAAGTGGATTATTATTTGAGTGTATAGACTGTGGGTTTAGGCCATACTCTACCTTTATACACTTTGATAATAGCAGTCTATACTCTAGTGTCAAATCTAAATTGGGGGACTAAAATAAAGATATCTGGCAACCTGCAGTCGCGCTCTGGCTATATAGGCAGCCAACATATTGCGATTAAAGAAAAGGCTGTTTTTATATTTACCCACAGTTTAACTTGTACTTTTTATGTACAATTTTGGATATTGTCTTCTGGCATGACTGTAATATATTTTTATTTTCTATTTTGCATAGTGAGCAATCTTGCACATAGCATTGCGACGGGGATATAGTTGACTCTTGGTGAAAGCGACACAGGATGACGCGTATTATCTCACTCGCTCGATAAAATAGGATCAAAGCGATAGAAGGGTGAGGGTGTATTGTTTGTTTTCTCACAATTTAGGGGGCCTGATCTATTGTAAGAGCTCGAGCGTTATTATCGATGAAATAACTAACCCGTTAATAGGCAGAGTAATTTTGCCAAATTGAGAGAGCTCATACTCGATACAATGTATTAATTTTCGGAAATGCTATTGCGAAGCTTGGCATAATAGACACCGGCAGAGTTGTGATTTCGGGTTGGTATGATTTATTTAATGCAACTACTGCTACGGTTGTCGTAGTGTGAATTAATAGGCCGGAGGAGATTTCGTCAGCAAGGTGCCGGTGGCAGATAAGATGGGGTCGGTGTTCCGAAGTGAAGAGATGTGCTTGGCGCAGTTATTTCTACAGTCCGGTTCTGCATACGATTGCATAAGTGAGCTGGGCGAAATGGGTCTGGTCGAGTTTCGAGATGTAAGTAGGCTGTTCCACCTGTCTGTCGAGCCTATGTGCAGACTTGCAATGCAGTAATACAAGCATTGTGTATATCAGTTAGTTAGGCCTACTCAGTGTCTGTCAGGTGTCAATTATATTTCTGGACCAAAACTGTTCTTTGTGTGTCTGTCTGCGTCTGACTACCAGCGCACCCAGGGTTATGCCTAAGTGTGTCTATCAGTCCAGTTAATGTGCTACTCTTGGATCAATTATTTGTCAAAACAAAAAACTAAAGTAGCACAAACTGATTAAGCAAATCAATAAAAGCATTATTTGATCACATATAGTTGTCCCCCTATTCTGTGATTGTCTGGTAGTCTTGATGGAGGTCCCTATGCAACTGCATATGGTCTGTCTGTATATAATTAATGGGCTCCAAAAACCTGGTACCCAGGTACCTTGGTCACTAGGTTTGTTTAATTTTAATTGTTGTGACCTGACCTAGATTTCAAAAGCAAATGGATTTGGACCTATATGTTGATATTTGAATGATACATTCTGCACAGTAAAATGGACTGGAAAGGAATCTATTTTATGAACTCCAGGATGTGAGCATTGGGCCACCTGGCACAGTCACTGACCACTGTGCTCCTCTGGTTTCAGCTCAACCCCAGTGTCAACTCATTTCAGCGCCGCTTCGTCAGCGAAATCAAGAGATGTGAGGAGATGGAGAGAATTCTGGGTGAGGTCACTGAGATGGACACTAGACCAAGACTACTAATACCATACAGATGTAGGATCCTAATTTGAGCCAGTTTGCTACAGCAGGAAAATAATCCTGCAGCAACAGGAAATGTAAATTATTATGTGGATTATACAATTAATGGACATTTTTCTAGGGGATGATACATTTTTCATTAGGGCAAATGAAGTATGAAATATTCAAAGTGGAAATTACAAGCGTTAGAAGCCTTTTTAAACCTCAAATACACTACAAGTTTGCATTTCCTGCGGCACAGGAACATTTTCAGCAACAAAAGAGTGATCAAATTAAGATCCTATATCTGTACCTTTGATTTCGTGGGGTTTGATCAGGCGCTGGTCACCTCTACAGAATGACATATTGCTTTTGGTAACAGGAATGCAGTGGGATTGAATTACAAGTCATTCAGCTGTGAAAGACTGGCTTTGTGCTAGATATAGATCTCAGTTGTTCTTCTACAGATAATTTTAGCAAGACCTCTTTATGTTTTGATCAAACGTGTCTCTGGATGTTTCAACAGATCCCATGATGATTGTGTGTGCTCAGTCAGTCTTTGTTTATCTGAGTAAACAATAAAAAAAAAAGTCATTTTTTGTTTTCTTTGGACAGGGTACCTTTTGAGGGAGATCCGAAAGGCAAATATTGCTGTGCCAGAAGATGATGAAATCTGTCCAGTCGCCCCTCCCCCCAAACATGTCCTTGAGATCATGGTAGGTCTGAGATGCTGTTTGTCATGTAACGAACATGTGCTGTGGTTGATGTTCACTGTGTGGTCCTCTGTAGCTCAATTGGTAGAGCATGGCACTTGTAACGCCAGGGTAGTGGGTTCGATCCCCGGGACCACCCATCCTTAAAAATGTATGCGCACATGACTGTAAGTCGCTTTGGATAAAAGCGTCTGCTAAATGGCATATTATTATTATTATTATTTAAGATGAATTACTGAGTTGGTAAATGTTTGAAGATAGTATTGACCATGTGTGGTTTAGGGTATTGATTGTGTGTTATTAATGGTTGAGGGGAACTGATTCGCATATGATTGCTGTGGTCAAGGGGTGTTGACCGTGTGTGGTCTGTCTGCTGTGGTCTCCCAGGAGCACCTCCAGAGGCTGGAGGTGGAGCTTAGCGAGGTGGCCAGGAACAAAGAGAAGCTGCAGCGGAATCTTCTGGAGCTGACCGAGTACACGCACATGCTGAGGATCACACACACCTTCGTACACAGCCGCTCCCGGGTTAGTGCCACCATGTCTATTTACAGAACTATGAATCCCACCATACACATTACTATCACATAACCTTTCCTCGTAACTGCTTAATGCCATTTAAGTAACACATACTCTTATCAGACTCACCCTTTGCTCTATTGCCCTCCAAGACACAACTGTCAGTTGACAGTGACACCATATTTTGGCTCTTTCTGGCCTCTCTCCATGTGATGAGTATCCTCATCACCACACGCATGAGTATCACCTGACTTTGAACAATGAACATTTGGTCATGTGATTCCACAGCCTATGATGCACGTTTGTTTAGCATGTAGATTATAGGCCAGGGTTCCCCAACTGGCAGCCCGCGGGCCAAATTTGTTGGACATAAATGACTGTAAAAACACCAGGAAATCAGCTTAATAGAGAGACGTGATTGTATACAAAGGTTTGAAATTATTATGTTTTAGTCACATATTATATCTGTATGGGCAATTTGCAGTCTACAAATTATTTGTCATTATGTTCCGGCCCCCCGACCATCCGCTCAAGAAAAAATTGGCCCACGGCTGAATCTAGTTGATGATCCCTGTAATAGGCTACACTTGACAATAGGTGTAGCAATGAATTTCAACCATTATGTAATAATGTTGCTATTACAGATTTACAAAAGGTCTATAAACTAGTAATTAACGGTTTATAAACTACTTAAATACCACTTTAAGACTTACCCTTTTTTCAAATTAAAGGTTACTTTTGTTTGTGTGTTGATCATGCTAACCTGACCTTTCCTTTTATGCAGCATGAGGCCCTTGGCCCCCAGTATGAAGAGTTCCAATCCATTGAGTCAGACTCTGGAGGCTGCACCGGTATGCAGAGACTGGGAGCCAAGCTGGGGTGAGATTCACAGACAAACATGTATAATAGACACTCACATAATGTGTAGCTAATCACTGTGAGAGTCAGCTTGAGTAAGTGGTGAGTCTTGAGTGGTAAAGTCTTCCTCTTGGCTGTAGGTTTGTGTCAGGCCTAATCCACCGGGTGAAGGTGGAGGCCTTTGAGCGCATGTTGTGGAGGGTGTGTAAGGGCTACACTATCCTCAGCTACGCAGAGCTGGGCGAGAGCCTCGCTGACCTGGACACAGTGAGTAGAAATAGATAGCAATACGGATTTCAGAAATCTATGTCTACCTCCATATCATTTTTTTTTTGGAATAAGACACATATTATATGTATTGTGTGTGTACATTACAGGGTGAGATCAGCGAAAATGTGGTGTTCCTTATCTCATTCTGGGGAGACCAGATTGGACAGAAGGTCCAAAAGATCTGTGATTGGTAACTACACTTTTGCCACCACAAAACACAAATTCATCCATTGCATGCACACACTTCTTCATCTCTCAAGCATGTGTCTCTCATTGAACTGTATCAGTGATATTTTTGTATGCTTTTCTTCCAGTTACCACTGTCACCTTTACCCCCACCCTGAGAATGATGAGGAGAGGGCAGATGTGATGGACAGCCTAAGGACACGCATCCTGGACTTGAACAATGTACGTCTGGGACTGATAGTATATTGCCAGGACATTAGCCATATGTCTCTCTGTCTGTCTGTCTGTTTGTCTGTCTATATGTATGTCATGTCAAAGGCACGGCCCAAACAAAGACACTAGTTATAAGACTTTATGCAAATCCTTGAACATGTCAAATCTGTGCCCTGGCTCCACCAGGTGCTCCACCGCACTGAGGAGTACCTGAGGCAGGGGCTGCAGAAGGCCTCAGAGTCAGCCTTCACCTGGGTAGTGCAGGTGAAGAAGATGAAGGCCATCTACCACATCCTCAACCTGAGTAGCTTTGACGTCACCAACAAGTGTCTCATTGCTGAGGTGTGGTGCCCTGTCAATGACCTGACCAACCTGCGGGGGGCGTTGGAGGAAGGCTCAGTGAGTGAGGCTGTTGAGGATACCGTAGTCCTACAGATACAGTAGTTTGTTTTGTCAAATCTGGCAGTAGTGTGTAGTAATGGAATACATGCTATTTTCCCTTATCAGAGAAAAGGTGACGCCACTGTACCATCCTTTGTAAACCGAATCCCAAGCAACGACACTCCGCCTACGCTCTTGAGAACAAACAAGTTCACCTCCGGCTTTCAGAGTATCGTGGAGGCTTATGGGGTTGGAGACTACAGGGAGGCTAGTCCAGGTGAGTACAGCTTCAGTAGACAGGCTAACCTAAAGGTAGGCTAGTTTGGAACACTTTAGACACATTTAGGCAAGCTCAGGTGGGCACTATTAGATTTTCATGAAATGGAATCCATAGAATAGTCATTTAGAGGAAGGATTGTTGACATATATTTGACATTTTTATCTAAAAGCATTATTGATAAATAATTTAATAAAGTTGTCATATTTATGTAAGACTCCATTGTGTTTCATCTGTAGGTGCTACAAAGCAAACATTGGTGTCATATGAAGCTTTACCGCTTGCTCTGTAATATGACTAGTATTTTGATTTCAAAAACGTTATTTACATTAATTAATTAATATTGAGAAATATAAACATGAAAATATACCAATTTTGATTTGGCAAATTATTCAATATATTGTTGAACATAATATACTCTACTGGCATATCAAAGTTCCAGAGTGGGATCTCTGCTACTTTTAGAGTTATGATACAATTTGAAAGCATTACCAACAGAGTGAATAGCTGTGTTTTTTTGTTATTTTTATTTTTTAATTTTTTTTGTCATTTAGCAGACGCTCTTATCCAGAGCGACTTACAGTTAGTGAATACATATTTTTTTTATACTGGCCCCCCGTGGGAATCGAACCCACAACCCTGGCGTTGCAAACGCCATGCTCTATCAACTGAGCTACATCCCTGCCGGCCATTCCCTCCCCTACCCTGGACGACGCTGGGCCAATTGTGCGCCGCCCATGAGTCTCCCGGTCGCGGCCGGCTGCGACAGAGCCTGGATTCGAACCAGGATCTCTAGTGGCACAGTTAGCACTGCGATGCAGTGCCTTAGACCACTGCGCCACTCAGTGTTTGAATGCCCATACTAACATACTGTATACTACATACTTAATGAGTATATACTACATACTATATACTATTCGTTCATTTTAGTATACTGTAAACGAACGGTATCCTTTCAGTTGAGCGTACTAGCGCTTCGCCTGTATAGCGGAAGTTGATGCTGTTGCTATGCAACCTCTTGCTAGCTTGTTAGCATAACAAATTACTAGCTAAACATTTTACGATTTCGGGTGTGTTAGTAAATTCAATCTGGAGTGCCAGAGTGCACAAATCCAGAGCGTTGTCAGATTGTCCGTTCGTAAATTCAGAGCGTTTCGCTCTCGGAGCATACACTGGACGCTCTGGCCGAGGAGTAGGGTTGATCCGAGCGTTCTGACCTCACAACGGCAGTCAAGTACCCAATCTAACTGGCTAACATTGGCTAGCTACTTCCAGACACAAATGAGAGAACACCTCACTCTGACCATTTTACTCGCCCTAGCAGAGCTGGTTAGGCTGTTTTCATGTTATCCAGAGCGTCATTACTTTATTACATTGCTCAACATTTTCTTAACATTTGTCATAATTAGTTAAAGCAATTAATTTGTATCCGCTCTCGTCGGACTTCGGCCGCCATTTTCTTCAAATCTAAAAACGTTGTGAAGCCACGTCCATTTTCTGAAGAATTGCAATATGGGCCCTAAAAGCACGGAAATAGTGTCCACTGCTTGTATACTTCGTATTTTGGTGAATTTAGTACAAATCCGGGAAATTTTTGGCATACTAACTATATCCATACTATGACCAATAAGCATACTACATACTCAATTTACGTCACAAATAGTATGGTTAGTGCTTAGTATGAGTACTGAAACACGTGAAAATAGTTTCAAAATGGTCGCCCTCAGCTGGTGATTTGCAGGGTGTGCAATGATCAAAGTAAAAGGAGGGCTGTGATTGGACGCTTTTAAATGGAAAATATATGTCAACAATCCTTCCTCCAAAGGACTATTCTGTGGATAAAATGTCATGAAAATCCCTCAAATCATGATCTTTTTTTGTCTGGATTTTGTGAGGACTCATTATAGGATTACAATTATGACTAACCAATACATGTAAAGCAGACTGGTCAGGTTGAGCACAGTTATAGGAATAAATGAAAGCTAGCAAAGTTGTCCATGCTGATCATGTTTAGCATTGGGCTAGTAACTGAAAGGTTGCTGGTTCGAATCCCCAAGCCGACTAGGTGAAAAATCTGTAAGTCGCTCTGGATAAGAGCGTCTGCTAAATGACTAAAATATTGAATGTATTTATGATTGGCAGCTCCCTACACCATCATTACATTCCCCTTCCTGTTTGCGGTCATGTTTGGGGACCTTGGTCACGGTGTGGTCATGGCATGCTTTGCCCTGTGGATGGTGCTGAAAGAGAAGAGCCACAAGCGCAAGCGCTCTGATAATGAGGTGAGAGTGTTTTCAGTGTAATTTCTATCAAATTCGACTGTGTTTTTGTAGTTGTCTTGATTTTGTTGTGTAGATTTTGATTTACTGCCATGTATGTTGGTCTTGGTTTCTCTATTGCCCTCAGATCTGGACAATGTTCTTCGAGGGACGTTATATCATACTAATGATGGGCCTTTTCTCTGTGTACACGGGGCTGATCTACAATGACTGCTTCTCCAAGTCACTCAACATATTTGGCTCAGGCTGGAGTGTTAGGGCTATGTTCACAGATCAGCAGTGGACGTGAGTCATCAAAACGAACACACAAAAACATGCACATTAGTACATTCGTAAGCACATTATGCACAGAATTGATGGTCAGTGTACCTGTCGATGTGAACATGTAATTTTAATTTAGCTGTAACTGGCTGAGGTTATTGTACTCATATTCACCTCTTATTCCAGAAATGAAACTCTCCAAACGAATGCTTTGCTCACCCTTGATCCCAATGTCAGTGGTGTCTTTAGTGGGCCATACCCTTTTGGCATCGATCCTGTGAGTATACATGCACACTGCACACAGACACAAAGCAATGTTCTCAGATGCTAAACACACAAACCCACAATCACGCACTCTCATATGTCCCTTCTCATGCCTTTCACTGATCCCAAATCCCAGAGATTGACGTTGTCTAATGTTATGTTCATGTTATGCTTTGTATCACACCCACAGATATGGAACATGGCAGTGAATCGTCTATCCTTCCTGAACTCCTACAAGATGAAGATGTCAGTCATCATAGGGGTCGTGCACATGAGCTTTGGGGTGGTGCTCAGTGTCTTCAACCATTTGTGAGTGAGCAGTTGGTGGTTCCTAACAGTAGTCACAAAAGTTGAAAAACTTCAGAAAGAGTTTCTCTAAATGTAAATCCTCCTTTCCTCCCCTTCTCTATCCAGGCACTTCAAACAGAATTTCAACGTCTACCTGCTGTTCCTCCCTGAGTTGCTGTTCCTGCTGTGTCTCTTTGGCTACCTGGTTTTCATGATCCTTTACAAGTGGCTGGCGTTCGGTGCACGTGACTCCCGCCTGGCCCCTAGCATCCTCATCCACTTTATCAACATGTTCCTCATGCAGGGAGGGGACAACACCCCTCTCTACCCTGGACAGGTGGGTGTTGGGGACGGGTTCATGATTCCGAGTGTCCCTCCTGAGTCTGGGTTTCTCAGCATCTGTATCTGAATCTCTGAATGTCTCTTTTTACCATCTGTCCATGTGGCTCTGTGTTTGACTGTGTGTATTTTGCTCCGCAGACTGGGCTGCAGGTCTTCCTGGTAGTGGTGGCTCTGCTGTCTGTGCCTGTGCTGCTGTTAGGAAAACCTGTCTACCTCTACTGGCTGCACCGTGGAGGGAAGGGCCTGCGATTGCGCAGGGTGAGTATGGTGGAAAGAGTAATGTGTTTTCAGTAAATAATGTATGTGCACATTTTAATGTCTGTTGTCTGTATTTTAGGGTTATGAGAGAGTTCGACGTGTGAGTGAGGATGATATGTCCCAAGCACCAGCATACGATGATGATGAGGAAGAGGGATTAGATGATCTCATGACCAGCAGAGGGACCCAGCCTAAGGAGGTCAGAACCACAACTGTACATCTCATATATACACATTTGAATACATCACTGTTGCGTTTCTGTCTAATCAATGTATTGTCCATCTTTCAGTTTGACTTTGGGGACGTGTTCCTGCACCAAGCCATCCACACCATAGAGTATTGCCTGGGCTGCATCTCCAACACAGCCTCTTATCTACGTCTTTGGGCCCTCAGTTTGGCCCATGCTCGTAAGTATCGGACTCACTATGCCTTTAAAAGGCCACAAGGGGGCAATTACTATCAATGACTGTCTCTATGTTCAGATATTGATCCATACATCTTCCTCTTACTATGTCCATCTATATGTTTGTCAGAGCTTTCGGAGGTACTGTGGGCCATGGTGATGCGTCTGGGCCTCAGGATGACCTCCAGACTGGGGGCTCTGTTTCTGGTACCAGTGTTCAGCCTGTTCGCTGTGCTCACTGTGTCCATCCTGCTAGTCATGGAAGGGCTCTCAGCCTTCCTCCATGCCCTCCGGCTGCACTGGTGAGTCAGTCTTTAAACTTAACTACGTGATGCCTTACTGACTAACTAATTCAGTCAGTCAATCAATCACTCTCTGTTAATCACTCATCTACTCTCACATTCCCCGGTGGTCACCTACTCGGTATAATTCAGTATAATTTTTACAAAATCTCTTAATCATTCACTTAGTAATTTGTTCACACATGCATTCATACTGGTTGTTTACATACAGTATGTCAATGCTCTCCTTTCCTAGGGTGGAGTTCCAGAATAAGTTCTATCATGGGACAGGTATCAAGTTTGCCCCCTTCAACTTCTCCGCCCTGCCCTCAGTCTTTGAGCAGGACGGTTTACTGTGACCAGCGACAACCAGATTCACTGGATTTGAACAGGAAACATGTACCAGGAAGGATGCTATGAGTTAGAGCAAGATGGCACACTGATGAAGAGGAGAAACTGCATAGCAGTGGTGGGATGACTTGTAGCAAAGTTTGTCAGCATACGGCTTTTGACACTATTGGCTGCATTGACTGCCTTACATCATAAATGCGTCCATATCAGCTAACCTCAATTCCTGAATTCAGTGGGATTCAAAACTGTTCATCTAGGTCTGTTGATATGTACTTTGTACTGTTCTGGAGTAATTTATGCATCTCATGTAATGACCACTTTAAGCCAATTTTGTGGATCTGAGCATTTTATTAGCTTTTTGTAGGAAATAGTGTTTTTTATTGTTAATTTATTACTTAAGACTCATATTTATCCTTTAAAGTACAACAAAATATGTTATAGATGCAAGGACAGGAGGTCATATAAAAATCCTGATTTCTAGTGCCATAACAATTTCTTCCCGATAATGACAAATGTGAATACCACGGCTGCTAATTGTGCAGCTTTTCACAGTGCTTATCCATGTGAAGACAGCTTTGGACATATAGTACTGTATAATGAATTGTATACTTGTACAGTAGATCATGATGTTCCTCCTGTATTGCCATTATACAATCCATGTGGCATTCCGGGGAGGATAAAAGATGACAGCTCAATTATGTATTTTTGCAAACGACATTGTCACAGAGCACTTTTCAAATAACAATGCAGAAATGATTGTACAATAAAAGTCAGCATTTTCACTGATGACTAGTCTTACTGTTGTGATGCTAAATGTTATGTGCTACTGCTAACAAGACAGTTTGCACAGGATAGAAATATTTTTGGCTTTACTTTCATGGTTTGGATATTCCCTGAAGTCTACTTGAAGCAGATATATACAGTACCAGTCAAAAGTTTGGACACACCTACTCATTCAAGGGTTTTTCTTTATTTTTACTATTTTCTACATTGTAGAATAATAGTGAAGACATCAAAACTATGAAATAACACATATGGAATCATGTAGTAACCAAAAAAGTGTTAAACAAATCAAAATATATTTGAGATTCTTCAAAGAGCCACCCTTTGCCTTGATGACAGCTTTGCACACTCGGCATTCTCTCAACCAGCTTCACCTGGAATGCTTTTCCAACAGTCTTGAAGGAGTTCCCACATATGCTTAGCACTTGTTGGCTGGTTTTCCTTCACTCTGCCGTCCGACTCATCCCAAACCATCTGAATTGGGTTGAGGTCGGGGGATTGTGGAGGCCAGGTAATCTGATGCAGCACTCCATCACTCTCCTTCTTGGTAAAATAGCCCTTACACAGCCTGGAGGTGTGTTGGGTCATTGTCCTGTTGAAAAACAAATGATAGTCCCACTAAGCCCAAACCAGATGGGATGGCATATCGCTGCAGAATGCTGTGGTAGCCATGCTGGTCTCCCGAGTGGCGCAGCGGTCTAAGGCACTGCATCTCAGTGCTTGAGGCATCACTACAGACCCCCTGGTTCGATTCCAGGCTGTATCACAACTGGCCGTGATTGGGAGTCCCATAGGGCGGCGCACAATTGGCCCAGCGTCGTCCGGGTTTGGCCGGTGTAGGCCATCATTGTAAATAAGAATTTGTTCTTAACTGACTTGCCTAGTTAAATAAAGGTAAAAAAAAAAAGATTTCTAAATAAATCACAAACAGTGTCACCAGCAAAGTACCCCCAGACCATAACACCTCCTCCTCCATGCTTTACGGTGGGAACTACACATGAGATCATCCATTCACCCACATCGTGTATATACACTACCAGTCAAAAGTTTGGACACACCTACTCATTCAAGGGTTTTTCTTTATTTTTACTATTTTCTATGTTGTAGAATAATAGTGAAGACATCAAAACTATGAAATAACACATATGGAATCATGTAGTAACCAAAAAAGTGTTAAACAAATCAAAATATAATTTATATTTGAGATTCTTCAAAGTAGCCACCTTTTGCCTTGATGACAGCACTTTTTTGGTAACTACATGATTCCACATGTGTTATTTTATAGTTTTGATGTCTTCACTATTATTCTACAATGTGAAAACTTGTAAAAAATAAAGAAAAACCATTGATTGAGTAGGTGTCCAAACTTTTGACTGGTACAGTATATACAAATTAATTGGATCTGGCAATAGATTGTAAGGATTTGATCAGTCATGGATTGTGGCTGTAGTGAATGGGAGGGAGGTGCAATTCATTGTCTAGTTGGTGATTTGAGGTAGCCCTACTGGTATCATCATGATTCATGCCATTTAGCTACATCTATTTATTTCTGTCTTTGTAGGAAGTTAGGATCTCAATCCTTTTTAGACATAGGCTACATTTAGGATATAAAGCACAAATGCCAACAAATAAAGAGTCAATGCTCAATAGTATGAACACATACTTATTTATTGAATTTTCTAGATCATAGAAATATATCAAATTAAATATGCCATGACTAGAATAGGTATTACAGATAGCAAGCTTACTTACTAGTGATGGGCATTCTAAGTCTTTTCGGTGAGCGGGCTCATTTGGCTCCGTTCACATAAAAGAGAGACGGCTCATTTAGCCCCCAAATGGCTCTTCATACCCAAATAAATAGACCTTACTGGGTGATCTGAAAAGTCATAGTCAATCGATCAATAATATAATAATACTTTTTGCAAAAATGTTTATTTTCAATTTACAATCTGTAGAAACAATGAGAATAGAAAGGTTCAGAACTTTTGTAAAACATCACAGTACAGTTGAAAAATATTGTCACGATCGTCGTATGGAGTAGACCAATGCGCAGCGTGTTGAGCGAACATACTTTATTTAATTAAAGTGCACACATGATACAAAAACAACAAAACGATAACGTAACGTCCTAGGTAACATAGACCAACACGGAACAAGATCCCACAAACACAAAGGGAAAACAGACAGTTTAAATATGGCTCCCAATCAGAGACAACCAGCCACAGCTGACACTCGTTGCCTCTGATTGGGAGTCACTCTAGCCAACATAGAAATAAACACAACTAGAACTCCCAACATAGAACTACAACACATAGAATGAGCACACCCTGGCTCAACATATAGAGTCCCAGAGCCAGGGTGTGACAGTACCCCCCCCTAAAGGGACTGTGACCGCGCCTCCACTAGAACAAAACAGGGGAGGGCTGGGTGGGCATTCCTCCTCGGCGGCGGTTCTGGCTCCGGGCTTGCCCACCACCCTCCAATAAACCCCCCATAGCGCCCCTGGTCCGGTCTGGCCCCGCTGGCTGGAGCTGAACTGGACGTAGTAGGAGCGGATAGCTTCAGCTCCGTTGTGGAGCAGCTGACCGGTACCTGATTAGGCACCGGTGACCCAGGCACGGGTTGTGCCGGACTGACGACGCGCACCCCTGGCTTGGTGCGTGAGGCAGGAACGGACCGGACCGGGCTGACGATGCGCACCCCTGGCTTGGTGCGAGTAGCAGGAACGGGCTGGACCAGGCTGACGACTCGCACCCCTGGCTTGGTGCGAGTGGCAGGAACGGGCTGGACCAGGCTGACGACTCGCACCCCTGGCTGGGTGCGTGGAGCCGGAACGGGCTTTACCGGGCTGACGACTCGCACCCCTGGCTTGGTGCGAGTAGCAGGAACGGGCTGGACCAGGCTGACGACTCGCACCCCTGGCTTGGTGCGAGTGGCAGGAACGGGCAGGACCAGGCTGGCGACGCGCACCGTAGGCTTGGTGCGAGGGGCAGGAACAGGCCGGGCCGGGCTGGCGACGCGCACCGTACACTTGCTGCGAGGGGCCGGAACAGGCCGGACCGGGCTGGCGACGCGCACCGTACACTTGGTGCGAGGGGCCGGAACAGGCCGGACCGTACTGGGGACACACACCACTGGCTCTACACCGGGATCTGGAACGGGCCGGACCGGACTGGTAACACACCCCAGTACCTCTCGCCGTGCCTCCACACCTTCCTTCCCTACTTTGGCCAGTGGCCCCCTTAACCTGGTGGCCTTCTGAATACGCCCCTTTTCTGCCTCCGTCAACCCCGTCGTCCATGCCCTGTGCCCCCCCCTAAAAATTTTTGGGGTTGCCTCTCGACCGTCCGACGACGACACTGATCACGCCGTTGCTCCTCTCTCCGTCGCGCCTCTACCGTCTCACTCCATGGCCGCCGATCCATCCCGGCCAGGATTTCCTCCCAGGTCCAGGACCCCTGCCCGTCTAAGATCTGCTCCCACGTCCAGGCTGCCTGCTCCTGGACACGCTGCTTGGTCCTGGTATGGTGGGATCTTCTGTCACGATCGTCGTATGGAGTAGACCAATGAATTATTTAATTAAAGTGCACACATGATACAAAAACAACAAAACGATATCGTAACGTCCTAGGTAACATAGACCAACACGGAACAAGATCCCACAAACACAAAGGGAAAACAGACAGTTTAAATATGGCTCCCAATTAGAGACAACCAGCCACAGCTGACACTCGTTGCCTCTGATTGGGAGTCACTCTAGCCAACATAGAAATAAACACAACTAGAACTCCCAACATAGAACTACAACACATAGAATGAGCACACCCTGGCTCAACATATAGAGTCCCAGAGCCAGGGTGTGACAAATATATGGCAAATAGAAATCCAATATGGATGGTGTTGAATGGAGTTGAAGGATGGGACTAATAACAACTAACAACAACTAATAACAACAAGATAACTAATAATGTAAGCATACTGTGTCCATAATAGGTATATAGGTTATAGGTTGAGAGCTTTTGTGAAAGAGCACAGTTAGAAAGATATGGCATACAGAAGCAAACCTGTCACGATCGCTTACAGACGGGACGGACCAAGGCGCAGCGTGATATGCGTACATGTTTATTTAAATGAATAAACAACCGACAAAACAATAAACAAACGAAACGTGAAGTCCAAGGTAGAACACAAAACATACCTACACGGAACAAGATCCCACAAC